AACCATGTCCCTAGCTCATTATCATTTCCATGCATGCTTTCTTAGGGTATGTTCTTTAGATTAAACAAATAAAAAAGCCTTACCCATGTCTCCTAACAAACCCACAGGTTTGAAAAGAAAAAAAGAATAGAAAAGTTGAAAATTTTATAAACTCTTTTATAAGATATAAACATTAATTTTTTGATAAAAGGAAAAAGGATTTATACTTTATGTTTATTTTCCATTGAAAAGTTATTATTTCCATGAAATAAAATTTTTAATTAATTATAAGAGTTTATGAATATTTATTAGAATAAATTTCTAATAAATATTCAATTGTATCAAGTTGTTGTTAGTGTGACCCTTTAGGATCATATGTTAATTAACAATATCATTTTAATATGACTCTTGAGCATACATGATCTTTCAATTTAGATTCATGTGGTTTTCCTGCAGAAATTCTTCAACCTCTTCAACCCAGATTACACATCTTCAAGATCAACCAGATCTGAAACGAGCTCATCAGAAATAATTTCATATTTATGTATGAGTGTGTGTGTGTGTGTGTGTTAGATCTGAACAAAAAAAAAATCGACCCTTCAATCGCGTGTGTGTTTGTTAGATGACTTAGATCACTCAACACATACATAATCATGTTCATCCCTTCAAACTCTTCAACCTAAAAGTTCTTCAACCTCTTAAACCCAAAAATATTTTAACCACTTCAACCTATACCATCTTCAAGAACAACTAGGTCAGAAAATGAGTTCATCAATGTGTGTGTGTTCATCTTCTTCCTAGGAATTAAACGATCTTCAAGATTTGTAGATCTTTGTTATGTTCTTGAGTTATAGTTTTTTATTTTTGATTTCCAGGTCGTTAGATTTAATCAAAGTCGTTTTTCAAATCCTAAAACCAATTCTAGAAGTGTGTTCATCTTCTTTCCAAAAACCAAATCTAGAAGTGTTCATGTGAAAAGTTTGAAGCTCGAAAATTGTGTTTCTAGTTTTGCTCAAGAACACACTGAACTTGAATCTGAAATTAAGTTCATACAAGAAATCGAGCTTTGACTTCTAGGTTTGTGTTCGTGTTCTTCATCAGATCTAAAAACATGCATCAATATATATATATATATATATATATATATATATATATATATATATATATATATATTATGTTTGTGTTCTTTATCAAATATGGGTTTGAGTTCTTTAGAATGTGTATGTGTGTATTCTTCATCAAATATGAAAATAGACAACAATATGAAGAATTCCAACGATTTATGGATCATATTTTTAATAGATTTATGGGTTGGAGAATCATGAATGTTTGTATGTTCTTGAACAGATGAAGATGAAGAATCAATGTGTGTGTGTTCTTGAACAGATGAAGACGAAGTGTCATTTTTTAGCGTAATTTTTTAATCTTTGATCTATGAATCTAAATTATTATTACGAGAATTTCTTGATCTAAAAATCAAAAATCAAATTATTTTAGATTTCTGGCCGAAGAATCGCCGGAGAAAATGACCGGAATCTCATCGGATCTGCCAAATAGGCCAGAAACCGGCTAAACCTACGATAAACAGGTCATAATGATGTTTTTTGAACTATTCAAACAAGTTTAATGAGAAAATGGGGACAAAAAAACATAGTAACTAAATGTGTACAAATCAAAAAATATGTTACTTTTTTAAGTCATTATCCCAAAATAAAACAATATATAAAAAAGGTAAAACAAAATAAAAAGGGTAAAAATATATTTTTTCATAGTCCAAGGACCAACCAAGTGAAAAATGAAACAACAGGGATCATGCACATAGAAGTTTTGAATGTTGTCATCAATTTGTAAATCTGCACAAGCACCCATCCTGTAAATTTGTGAATTAAGTCAATTAACTATGAAATGGGAGCCAAATATGAAAATTTGTGAATTAAGTCAATTAACTATGAAATGGGAGCCAAATATGAACAGGAGAATCGAGTTTGGCAGCCGCAAGTGCCTTGTGCCATCACTAGATCTGTCAAATCGGGCCGTCGTGTCGTGTTTTTGTCTGACACGACACGACACGACAATGTTTTTTGTAACACGAACACGATACGATACGATGTCGTGTTTTCTTTTCACTAACACGAAAACAAACCAATTAAAAAACGACAACACGACACGAAACGACAAAGATAATATTACATAAATATTATTTTATTTAATTCATATTTAATCATATATAACACGATAAAAACGACAAACACGAAAAACACGACAAACACATGCTCAATCGTGTCAATTTCGTGTGGATTTGTAAACACGAACACGACACGACACGACATCGTGTTTTTTATACTTAACACGAACACGACACGAAAACGAATTCGAATTTTGATTTCGTACCGATTTCGTTTCGTGTCGTGTATTTTTGTCGTGTCGTGTCATAAATTGACACCCTTAGCCATCACATGAGACTCCATTGACAATAACTAGAATTTAAAATGGTTGCAACGTGTGTTAATCAATAGATTAACCTTAATTAATTCCTTGAAACCCTAACCCTAAATCCCTAATCCTACTCTGTTAACCCTAACGTCAAGACCGAATGACTTTTTATTCTTGGCTTTTGACGTCTTGATGCTGAACATAAGGCGTGTTTATTTTTATAATAAGCATTTAGTGGAAGCCTAATTTTATATCGATTATACGTGGGAATAAAATTTGTTAATTTTTTTTCTTCTAAAGATGATTTTTTCTTTTAAAAACCAACTATTAAAATACGTGAGAACCTTGAAACTGTTTAAACATTGTTTCTATATTTTTGGACTAAAAAACAAACACCCCTTAAGGATTTACTTGTTAAATTTCATGAAGAAATGTTATATGAAAACATCTGTACAGAAACGGACTACATATGTAATAAGTGGTAAATGAATAACTATAGTTAAGTTTGATAAATAAGAGAGATATTGTTATAATACTGTTAACTTGAAAACTAAAAAAACTTCAATAACTTGCGGAATAAGTGCAAAAGAAACAATAAAAAACTTCAATAACTTGTCGAACAAGTACAAAAGAAGCTTTTAGCTTTCATTAAACTCGTTAAGTTACAAAAGAACCAAGGTGGCGCTATTGGATAAGGAACTAAAATCCCATTTCCGAGTTTTTGAGGTTTCAATTAGGTGTTGGACAAGAGAAAGTATATATGACATATTTTGGTGTATTAACACAAGTTTTGGTCATGGGAAGCACCCCCTCACATGACCTTTTTGTTGATTAGATACTAATTCTTAGAGGGTGTTTGACTAAGCTTATTAAAAATATTTTTAACTTTTTAACTTATAGTTTGTTAGCTTATAACGGTGTCCAAATAAAGTTTTTTAAAAAATGTTTGGATTAGATTATTTGGTGTCAAAACGCGATAAGTTGATAAACCATTTTTAATGTTTGACAAAATGACCAAAAAAAATACTTCATAGAAATGTTGGACAACTATAAGTTATAAGGAATTTTGATAAGTTAGGAGATAGTAACTTATCAAAAATGATTTGTCTCCGGTTCCACACCGTTATTATAAGGTGTTTATTAAAAACAGTCTATCCAAACATTTATTTTAACTTATACCGATATGGAACCGATAATAAGCTAACAAACTTCCTTTTTAAGCTTAGCCAAACACCCTCTTAGTTGGATAACAACTCATACGCTAATAACCTACCGTTAATCATTGCATATTTTTATTGAAAAATTAATGTGCAATATGAAATACATATATATGACCTTCTACACAGATATAGGCCTTCCACATGCACCTTCCTTCCCTTGACACCATTTTGAAGAAAGTAGAAGGAATATCCACTCTAAAACTATATACAAACAAACAAAAATAAAATGGGCCTAAACATAATAATGACTTTGAAACTTATCGGTTAGCTTGAAACTCTCCATATAAAGCAAAATTTTGAAACAATTTCTCAAAAAAAAGTTGTTTCAAAATGAATAATGGTGTTCAAAACTCTCGCTTTTGTCGGATTTTTTCTAAAACAACTTATTCTGAAGTAATTTCACAAAAAGATGCTCAAATTGTTACTTGCGATTACCAAAAGTGTTCATTTTGGTGGTGATTGCTGAAATTGAAGATATACAATATCAAAATGTACTCCTTTTAACTAAATTGTTGTATTGTTAAAAAATTTCATGTTAACGAGATCCCTCATAATAAAATATGTTTAACAAGATTATGTGTTGTAATGCATCTCACAATTCTTATCATTTTTAAAGGTTTGTACATGATTATATATGTAACAAAATGACAAACTTATGTGGTAGCCTTGAGTTAAGAAAACCTAAACTGAAAAAAAAAATTATCTATGCCAAATGTGTTTGTGATTTTAGTGTGTCATTAGGCATTTTAAGTGATAGAAATTTAAACAGGTGTCAATGGAATTTTAAGCAAGTTCAAGTATGTTTCGGGATGTGAGAAGTGCACAACTGCACATACATATGGACCAATTTGATCCCATTGGTGGATGGTTAAGGGATGGAATGGGCAGGGTTAAAGGGTAGTGCCCCTAATACATGCGTTAGGATCGGAGGTATATTGACATAATGTAGATTGAAGAGTTGACACTGACATTAGATATATATTTTGTATCTAGTGATTGTTACACGTGAAATATATGATAGGTAGCTACCAATAGATCTGTATCAGATCAACAACTACTTAGTAGCAAATCGACAACCAGTGATCGTATTAAGAGCTACCAATATGTGCATCTACTAATAGCATGAGTAGCTAATGTTGTTAAACATTAGTAATTTCCCAAAATCCTCTAAAATATCCCATAATTGCCATTTTTGATAACCAACATTTTGGAGGCTCTAATGACTAATCCATATTTTTTTTTAGTTTTTTATTTTTTTATAAATAACACACAAACGTTAATACTCTCTAGAATATGACTTCGTGTTTTGTTGTCGAAACTTGAAGTTACCAACATCGATTGGATTATCCCAGAACAAATTTCATGATACCCGAACGATAAGGGAAACGTCAAACATTATCCTTTCAAGACCCAAGTTACGATTATCACACATTTTACCCCCTTACCAAAAAATCAATTTCGTTTTAAACATTTATAAACTTTCGGTTAAAAATTAGTAATAGGACCAAATAAACAATCCTAATTAGCTTTATAATTTCGAACATATGCCACGACTTGTCGATCCGACATAAAATTTCCCTGTGTTTAGAACAGGAACCGGAAGCAGTGCAATCTTTGCTGCCATTTTTGCAGCATCATCAGCCGAATGCTTTCCATTGCCATCGGTCATGGTCGTTTGAGTGAAGCCCGGACAAAAACAATTCACACTCACCACCCCTTCATACCTCCGTGCCAAAACTTGAGAGTATGCATTCAATGCAAGCTTAGCCACCGAATAATCCGTCCATATCTCCGGCCACCCTTGTGTATTCCACCTCCCTTCTTTCACATCTTCTAAAAACGCATTCACCACCATATCTATTCGACCTTCGCTCAATGTTTCTTTATCACCAAGTATTGCCTTCATTTTTGGGTTATTTAGTTTCTGCATTTAATTAATGAATCAATTATTCAATATGGGCTTAATCGAATCAAATTAACTGTGGGCTTAATTTGATGAATAATTAGGTACATACATCTAATGTGCCAAGTCGAGAACTGATATTAAGGATGCGGCTCATGGAAGATGAACGACGAAAAAATGGCAACATGGCCTCGGTAAACTGTTTTGATCCGTAGTAATTAGTTTTGATCACAGTTTCAGCATACTCCATGGAGTTTTCGTTCATTGCATTGAAACATACTGCTGCATTGTTCACCTATACCAATAATAAATACCGATTCGATGAATATCAACAACAATTAAAATTTCAATATTTTTAATGTGGTTTTTGGATTGTAATGAGTAATGTTTTTGGGAATCCAAACAAGATTGGATCAATTATAGATATATATGGATCTACAAAAAGATTTTTGTAATGGGTGTCTTTCTTTTTTATGTGGTTATTATGAAGTTGAGGAATGAATGTAATAATAGCAATTAGATAACTAGTTGTAGTTAATAAAAAAATTTAATATTAGTAATATTTTGATATTAGTTTTATATTTTACTTTCATAGAATAAGTTTGCTCTAATAAATTTTACCTCCTTCTAATTTGGTTACTTTCACCATGGTAAAAAACGAAACCAAACCGAAAATAGAAAAACCAAACAATTTTGGAAATCCAATTTAGTAAAAAACATGAATGAACCGAACCATATTTAACAGTATCTTTTCAACTTCTTTTTTTTTCGAAAGAGAGTATCTTTCAACTTAATAATTCAAAATTTTGAAATTATATATACCAATCATTTAAAAATCAAATCAAATAAAAACATTTGAAGCATATTTATACATAATAAAGAAATTCTTTTTGTCAAAATAAGACTCTAAAACCCAGGAGTTCGGATTAGTGGTAATTATTCAGTGCATGTATTTAGTGTTGGATTTAAAGAAGTGACTTCCATTTTTTAACTACTTATTCAAAGTGCACAACTACTTTGCAAATTAAGACTTAAAAATACTCACTAATATATCGAAAGCCTTGAAACTGGATCGAAACCAAGAAACAAAAGACCGAATAGAGACTGGATCAGAGATGTCAAGCTGACAGAAACGAACATGATGATCTACTCCAAGAACCTTAAGTGAATCCATGGCTTGTAAACCTCTGGATTGATCTCTAGCCGTTAACACAACTGTTAACCCCAACTCAGCAAACCGTTTAACCAATGCATACCCGATACCCTTGTTTGCTCCGGTGACAATGGCTACCGAGTCCTTCGACCACCATCTTGTGGTGGTTGTAGGGTGGGAAAGTGGTGGTTGCTGATGTCTACAGAATGATACCATGGCGGAAGCAGATGAGAATGTGGGAGCAATTATATGCAATAGCAATGGCTACTAATGTCTAACCAAATCAACATCTATCTTTATATATATTGAATTGCTTAGCATGATATAGAATGGAAATGGTAAAATATTATTAAAATAATCAAAAGTTACTTGCTTCCAATAAACAAATAAAAAATTCTCCTCGTGGTGCTACTAGTTTTAAAACCCCTCTAGGTTTATGTAGGTGTTGGCATCCACATATTTAACTATTCACAAAATTATAAAAGAAAAGATGTTCCTAAAAGACGATCTACTAAATAAGTTTTACTTTTGTTTAATTATAGTAATATTTATTTACAAAAAAAGAGTATCCATTCAATTTTCAATTTAGTTTTACTGTTATAAAATTTTATATCCTTTTGTTTTACTTTTAATTAATATGATCCAATTTATTGTCGATATGAGTATGTTCGACATCGTGATTTTAAGATCTTTTAGAAACTTTAAAATTTTAGATTTAAAAAAATTAAAGAAAAGTTTTTTGTTTGAGAATATGATTTAAAAACTTTTATTTTAAATAAAAGTCATAATTTAAAAATTATTACAAGTAGCTTTTATCTACATTTTGTCATTTTATAATTTTCAAATGTTTACAGTTAATTTAATTTTTACGAATACTTCTAAATAAATAAAACTACAAGTTACATATTCTGTTCCAGCTACCGTTTCTAGCTTAAGACTTTCAACGACCAACTAGTTTATAGTTTTGCCAAACAAACTCATCATAGAGTTCTATTTCTATTGTTTCTATATCTTTTTAATTTTATTTTTACCGAATTTTAGTTTGTTTTAACTCTGTAAAAATATTAATACATTAAAAAAGTTAAAAGATTTAATTTAAATTGCATTTGTCTGACTTTATAGACATGACACCTAATAAATAGGCCCTGTCGTACATCTGGCTTTGCATTGACAGTCCCAAGCGTCTCATATCTGTCCACCTAAGTCATCAGTTTGTGCATTACCACATCATAGCACCATTCCTCGTTGGAAATTGGAACAGTCAAACATGTTAGCATAAAAGCTTATCGCATCGAAGCATATCTTATTTAAAATATCAACATGTAAATATATTTATCAAAGAGAACATAAACTAGTATGATTTTCTCACACATACATCAATCTTACTCCATGCGTGCCTATTGAAGTATGAAGTAGATCATAAATTATGCAAGTGTGCAAAATTACGAGATTATAAATCATGCAGGGTAAAGGAGAAAGCTATTGTGTTTGGAAGTATCTATTTGGACCTTTATGATCTTAACTACGACTTTTAGGAAATGAAGGAATTTTGTGTTAGGAATATACTCGACACACAGTCACACACATAGATAAAGTTTGAGATGCTAGGGAAAAATAATGAATAAAAAGAATTAGCGAAATCTTCAATAAAGTCTTAATATTTTAGGTAAGTTTACGGTTTAATCTCAATTTTTATTTTTTGAACAGAAAAATTCCGATTATTTTATATTTTGCCAAAACTAACGAAACAGTCCTAATTTTTTTTTTCAACGAAAAATCACAGATTATGGTATAATATTAAATAATCGGGACTTTTATGTTTAAAAAACAAATGTTGGGATTAAATCGTAAACCGACCCAAAATATTGGGACTTTATCGGAGATTTCCCAAAGAATTAAGTGGTTTTGATCATTATAGTAATTGTTTAACGTTTAGAAAGTTTTCTATTGATTTTGTAATGGAGTGTACAAATTAAAGAGATCAGTATATATGGTTATATTTTACAATTTAGAGCCTAAAATATCATAAGAGCAGGACCCATCTTTTGATTGTTATAGAAGCAATCATGTCCCTTTGACAATCATTAGACTCCACAACTCAACATTTGGCAGGTGCTACCTTTATTCCAAACTCTTTGAATTTGAATGTTGATATGTGTCATACATGTAAGATAGGAAAAATAGGGCAAAGGGGGGGGCATTCAAATATTGTTCTTTTTGTCCTGTTTGTGAAGCATTATATCATATTTGGGTTGTTTGGTTGCAAATAAAGTTATGGAATGTAGGGGTGGAATTGGTATGGTATCAGACGTTTTTTTTCCTAAACCATGTAACGTACCAATTATAGTTGGTAAATTTGTGTTGATATCATCATCGTACCAAGTATAGTTGGTATCAACTTATTTGGCTACCAATAAGTTTGGTTGGTACATTGTAACACTCCCAAAAATCACAATTAAATTAAAATTTTTAAAGTCAACCATGAATCAATACTGTTTACAAAAAGCGTTATTGTTTCAAAAGCATTATTTCAAATCAAAGCTTTCCTAAGACCCGAAGACATAAAAATTGGAAGTTGTGTACGATCACGTCTTCGCCTTCCCACGATCCTTGGAAGTACCTGAAGCCACAAACTAAAACTGTAAGTCAAAGCTTAGTGAGTTTCCACAAAGTACTAGCACACCACAACAAACTAGCATACAATACGAACAGCCGGTCTGACTGGACCGTCTCGCAGGGCCTACAGCCTATCTGGACCGCTGTCCTATCCTGCGGCATGACTGGACCGCCTCGCAGGGCCTACATCCTATCTGGACCACTCTACGGGCCGCCGACCTGACTGGACCGCCTCGTAGGGCCTATAGCCTATTCGGTCGACTCCGAGTGTCTTGGCCTACATCACAAAGTAGGACCGCCTCAACCCAACACAACATGTCGACATATGCAACAAACAAACATAAACACATAGCCGACGAATACAAATAATCATACGGATCTACTGAACAACTACAACTATCATGTCACTATCCTGACCAGGATAAATAATCTGGTGGTTCGGCCTTGGTGCCTTAGACCTACGGGTACAATGAGGAAAACTCACCTAACAGTCTGAATGCAGTCTGAATAACTCCCAGCTCTGACAACCGGCTCAACCTAAATCCTAAACGTCAAAACATTTCCCATTCTAAATTAATAACATTTTCCCAAAATACCCTTGGTCAAAACTGGCCAAAATCAACAAGTCAACCGAGTCAACCCAAACGAGTCAACTCAAGCTTCGTACGTGGGGCGTACTCTGGAGGTACGTAGGGCGTACTCAAGCTCCGAGGCATCAGGGCCAAATCTGCGTACGTGCAGCGTACCATTTTGTAAGCCCTGCGTACGCAACAATTCCCCTCTTAATCTATTAAGAGCTTAGTACTTCGACTTAATACGTCTAATTGCATATCCAAGGCTAAAATACCCCTAAGAGTCATAAAGTTTCCAACTTTATGACTTTGCATGTCCAATAAGTGCTTAATACACAAAATCCCAACTTCGTAACACCTTAAGACCTTCTAGAGCATGCATGGGGAAAAACTAAGCATCAAGACCACATTTTTATGACTCAATACCCCTCATTAGGTCTGAAAAGGACGACCTATTCAGTTAAGAGCATGCCATGCTCAAGAATCACCATATTTGGGACCAAAAATGCCCTAGAAGATTAAATGCCTAGATCTACAAGATAAGATCATCAAGCAAGGAGCTTTTTACCTCTTGGATGTAGCTAGCAAGTGAAGAATCCCAGATCCAAGCTTCTCCCAAGCTCCAAGTCCTTGTACCAACTTCTTCTTCAAGAACACCACCAAAGCACACAAATAAGCCCAAAATGCACTCTTCTCACTTAGGGTTTACTAGAGGGGCGTTTTCTCAGATGGAGGCTGATGAGAGAATGATAAATGAGGGTATAATGATGCTTATATATGGACCAAACCCTAAAAATTAGGGTTTGAGGTTTCTTCACGTACGCCCTGCATACGCGGTGTACGCTTAGCATACTAAGGTCCGCCCTAGTACGCTCAGCGTACACAATGTACGCCCAATGTACTAGGTATTTGACCAAAATCACCAAAATGCCACTATGGGTCATTCTTGCAAAATTTTCAAGTCCAAGGGTCAACATAGAATATTTCTTCGCACATAGGGTTAAATTTGAAAATACCTCAACATCAGAATGTTACAATTCTCCCCCACTTGAACTAGACTTCGTCCTCGAAGTCAGCTGTTGCGAATAACTCTGGATAATGCTCCCGCATCTCCGCCTTCGACTCCCAGATCCACTCAGAGCCTCTCCAATGTTGCCACTGAACCTTTACCAAAGGTATCTCCTTGTTGCGTAGGACCTTCATCTTTCTCTCCACTATCGCTACCGGCCTCTCAATATAATTCAAGCACTCAACGACCTGAATATCATCTAAAAGGACCACTGCCTCATCGTCCAACACGCACTTCCACAATTGCGAAACATGGAAAGTGTTGTGGATCTGTCTGAGCTTACTCGACAAATCCAACCTGTAGGCCACCCGGCCTACCCCGACGATCACACTGAACGGTCCAATATACCGGGGACCCAATTTCCTCCTCTTCCTTAAGCGTAACGCACCCTTCCAGGGTGAGACCTTCAGTAGCACCATGTCGCCGACCTGTAATTCCAACTCTGATCGACGTCGGTCAGCATAGCTCTTCTGTCGACTTTGAGCTGTCTGCAATCTCTGCTTGATCTGGTGGATGAGCTCTGTAGTCTAGAGGACCACCTCGGTCCTTCCTATGACTCTTTGACCAACCTCCCCCCAACAAACTGGGGTACGGTATCTCCGACCATACAGAAGCTCGAAAGACGGTGCACCAATGCTGTAGTGATAGTTGTTGTTGTAGGAAAAACGCGCAAGAGGTAGGTAGGAATCCCAACTCCCACCAAAATCTATAACACAAAACCGTAACATATCCTCAAGTGTCAGGATGGTCCGCTCACTCTGGTCGTCGGTCTACGGATGGTAAGCAGTGTTGAAATGTAGCCTCATACCTAATTCCTCGTGGAACTTCGGCCAAATTCTCGGCCGAGGAGCTCTCCCGGATGGCAAAAAAGTGGGCACTCTTGGTCAATCGATCCGCGATGACCCAGATAGCATCAAAACCATTGGCGGTCTTCGGTAGTTTGGTGATAAAATGCATGGCGATATGTTCCCACTTCCACATGGGATCCTCCAAAGGTTGCAGCTTGCCATGCGGACTC